GATTTGGAAAAGCGAATAAATGGAAAATTCCGTCGGAATCAGATTCAATCACGACTCCGCATAGTGTCGGAGAGCCGGGGCGCTGACTACTGTTAATCCGAGGAACTTGTTCCTGTAATCTACGTATTTTACATAGATCCTCGCATTGTCAGATGCGAAAAAAAACTCCATCCATTTGCAAACAGGGGGATTCAGTTTCGTTGAAATGCATATGATTATTTAATGTTTTATGTTTTAAATACTAGATGGAACACACGAAAACAAAAAAGACACATATACACATACATAACACACATACACAAAAAATAGGTCAGAGACGATTCTGGTAAATAAAGGAAAGAGTTCTAATGTTTACATTAAGATAATTCAAATTTTGGCGCCCTTCCTAACAACAGCTCTCGGTGGACTTTCAAAGAACTAGAACTACTGTTCCGCTTTCGCCAGAGCACACCGACTGCTTTCCAACGGCAGGACGTTTTCCCAATTTAGCATTAAGCACGGTAATCTAGAAAGAGCCACGTAACCTATCATTGTCATGTTTCGAGGCCACTGAAAATTTACCAGCTAAAGTTGGACATCTTGAATTGTTCTGGGAGGATTTAAAAGTAAGATGCAGTTTATCTTTTCTGTTAGAATGCAGTTTGGTTAAATGCTCTAATCGTGAAGATTTCACAGCTTTTTGAGAAAACTTTCATGCAAATCAGGAACATTGTTAACATCTTCTTTGATAATAAATCAAAAGAACCATTTTCTAGCTATTCTAGATTATATTATCTACATTTTTGCTTTGAATCTGATATGAGTCTATCCGTAAAAATGAAAGAAATAAAATATCTGCGGTAGTCCAATATCTACACTTACCACTTTAAGTAAATATAGCATTATAATTTAATTATATAAATTTTAAATAAATCTTAAATTTAAAGTCATATAAGTTATTTTATGAACAATTTAATCTTTTAACCTTATTTTATTCAAGCTTAATTTACCAATACGTGCTTTTATAAGCACATATTGGTGCAGCCTGTGAACCTGATTTGAGCTTTTACACCTTTATGCTGACTTTGTGGTACTGTAAGACTTAGTGATTATTCAATAAGCAGTTTTCTAACGTCGAGATTGGTTTGTAATAGCCAAACATACTAGACGTTATAACATGATTGAATTTTATGCCAAAAAAGTAGCCTCAGATGTTTATGTGCAAGCTATTTTAGTATTTAGTGCGAATTTGCTGAAATACTTGGTTTTAGATATTAATTGACTGCTGTTTAGTTCTAAGTTTTTAGAGGGATTTGATAAAATAAAAATTAAGTAATTTATAAAAAATATCAAACAAATAAGTGGCAATTTATCAAGTTTAAAATGAAGAATCCATGTATCACTATTAGGTAAAAATGAAGGTAAAATGCCATGTCCGCGTCGTATAATATCATTTTGAAACTAACTAACAAAATATTGCAGCCACTGTTCAGGTCATGAGTAACTTAGTAGCTACTCGTTGCTATAGGCTAAAGAAGCGAGTTCAGAGTTTATACTAGCTTTGGACTTGTAAACATTGAATAAACTTGGGCATAACTCCAAGGCAATAGCTGCGAAGGTTAATTGTGATATATTATCACGAATGCTAATGGATACAGTAATAATCCGCTAATCAACCAGGATGGAACACTTAGTAACTGAAGCTGATATGTGTTTACCGACAGCGGTGTCAGATTAATTTTACATGTATTTCGGGTTAATTGAAATATATTGTTGCAAATACATGTAACTATTATATTTGGGCACATCCTGACTATCCGCACGCCCATAAAATTCAATTTACGACTCTTAGATAATTTCCTGTTTATAAATAGTAATAAAAAGCAGCATATTATAAGATGTCATTTCATGAGAAACCCCCAAAAATTACATTTGCATTCTTACAGAAGATGTTGCAGTTCAAAATACAGAATTATTTGTTCAGGAATGATAGCAATATAAAAGAAACCCTACGTATACTCAAACAGGTATGGGGTACGCGCTTGCATGGATTGACAAATGTGTCACTGTGTTAATTCCGTTATGCCAGAAATATGGCAGCATTCACTAGTTATTAAAGGAAATCAACGAAACAGTAACAGGAAACAATAATAGATACTGAGTACTAAATAAGGGGCTAAAATGACATAATCCATCAGTCATTATGCCACGTAAAATACTATTTAACACAGTGTGAGAACTGCCTATTTTTCTTAAATGTGGTTAGAGCAGCGGAATTACGTATGATGATTGTGGAGTCAACGCAAGTTTTTCCAATGCTTTTCTTCAATGATTATCATTTTTCCGTGATTTATTTTATGAAAGGTTTAGGGGAAATGTTGAAAACATGAAATAACAAGCTGAAACAGGAAGTTAAATTGCATAATTTCAGTTTAAAATTTGAACTAGAGAGGCACAGTGTGGAGCACAAAACAATCCTTTTGTTTTTTGAGATTTTATTCTGATATGAAACCTGCACCTGCAATAATTAAAATAAGTTAAATTTAAATATTTTAAAAATCAGTTTTTATTTTGCATTAAGAGTTTCCTCTCTTTTTAGTGCCTAAGAGAAGTATAAGCTGAAAACTACTGTTTGAAAGAAGTAACATTTCGCATTAACAACAGGTTAACAAACTGTAATATTTGACTTTCCATGAGTTGCTTTTCAACGCTACGTAATTCCCATTACATAACGTAATTCCTTTTGTGTAGTTAAGGTTGTATTTAATCAAGAATCAATTATAGATATACACATATTTTAGTAAATCAAGAATCATTTATAGGTATATACATACTGTTGATATTTCTGTTTTTATATTTTTCAGCTATTCTGCGAATTGCTTTAAACTGTCAAGTTTTGTAGTAGTGATTTATCATTACTTTGAATTGTCAGCATTTATTTTAATGTCAAATGATAAAAGAATGAAAGAATCAATAGAGAAAGTTGCTTGGGAAAAGTTGAGGTAAATTTAGGTTCTTGAAATTTAAAGTATTACAGAAAGTAATAAAATATATAAAAATTACAAATAAAAAATTAAACAAGTACATCAATACTTCACCTTTTGCCTTAAATGCCCATTTTATTTTATTTTGACATAAAAAACAATCATAAGCTTAAATATTAGTTTTATATGGGAAATATATTATCAAACTCGAAGAATTCATTGACTAGATAAAATATTATCAAAAACATATTTTTCTAGATTGGTTTGGTTTATTTTATTTACGGCAGCGAAAGGGAAAATTATCTTCCTATGGGCCCTAAGGAGAGGGATACCTTTCTGGAGGACTTGCTAAAGGAAACTGGTTGAACCCATATTACACACAGAGAAAATCACGAAAATGCCCTGCAGCCAGTTCATCGGCCTGGAGTCGATCCCAGGTCAAACTACCAATATTCAGTCAGTTTACTATTCTGCCTTTATATATTTTTCAAGACCCGCATTTTTCCATACCGTAAATAATTCTGAAATTTTAACTAGCAAAATCAATAACAAATTTTAAAATTAATGTTTATGATATGTTTTTTTTTAACTTTAATATTATCTAAATTAAGAAAAATTGTAAATTTGAGCATTTAATGAAGTGCACAGGCATTCGCGCTCCATGTACAGTTGTATGTACACTTGCAAATAATGATAATTCATTATCAAGTGAAAGATTTCAGTCAAGGATTAAGACCCGTTTTTCTAGAATTTCCTTAAAACCTATTTGTATCAAAACAGTTGAGCATGGAATCCTCTATAGAATAAAATGATCTTGGTAAACAGTGATACAAATAAGAATGAATTTTTCTTTAAGTTAACTTTGTTGTTTAACGTATGTCTTACGAATATAAGTTTATATTAATGTGGATGTAAGGTCACCACCTGCTGTCCAGCTATTCTTCAGAGCCTCCGTGAAATCTACAGTGGTGTCCAAAATTGTGGACACTTTTGTAAATTTTTACGTTTTTAAACTTTGTATGCTTATAGAAAGCGTTACGTTTCGCAAAATGCAAACTTGTAAACATAATTTTAGTTTATTTATTTTAGTCACTGAACCACCCACCTGTATTTTCCTGTACCAGCTCAATTTCAGCATAGGAAAGACCACTTTCTCGTAACACAATAATATTACATCTCTTTCTAGTTGTCCAATCTACTCTTTTATTTGATGTCATTCCTTCTTGACTAAATATAAAAAAAAAATTGTACAACAATTCCTACTTGTAATTGCAGTGTATAAGAAACAGGTCCTCCTTCTACAGAACAAAGCAAAATAATGAATTGTTTCAAGTGTAAACATGATGTCAGTTTCTACTAGCAGTTACTAACATTTGATTGGTTCTCAGATCAATAACAGTGATTGGCCAGGAAAGCTAGACATTACAAACCACTTTATAACTGTGTTTTTTATTTATATTAAAGTACATATAACTTTTTTTGTATTGCAAATAATTGAATTTTTGTTTTGTATTGAATTCAGTAATAAATTCTCTTTAAAAGTATATATATAAGTTTGGATTTTGCGAAACGTAACATTTTCTATAAGCATACAAAGTTCAAAAACATAAAAATTTCCAAAAGTGTCCACAATTTTGGCCACCACTGTAGGCAGGCACCCATTGAACTTTATAAAAAGAAGGCATCCTCTAGATCCAAACTGCAGACGTGCAGCTGAGCAGTAATCAGATAATGCCGAATCGACGTATAAAGTGACGGGAGCCCGTTTTTGAACTCATAACTCATGTTAAATAATTAACACAACCATTTAATTTAAATTGTGTGTCTGTATTTGTCATTGTCTTAACCATTAAACTAGATCACTAGTGTGTTCTATCACATTAGTTAAAGCAAAAGCTGAATGTCCACAGTAATTACCTGAGATAAAATACATCTAAAATGTAAATAAATAAATACCATATCAAAACATAAAACATCAGATTTGACTGCAAAAATTTGAATATTACTTAATTGGGCTTAGTTAAATATTTTAAAATTTTTAATCACAATATATGCACATTATATTTTATTACAGATATCACTGAACGCACGTTGAATACTGTGGAATTAAAAATATTTCCTACAATCTTTGCTTTGGTCACTCTCCATAAATTCTAAGACCGCCTATAATGATTTTACTCTGAAGTATAGATCCTTTAGGAATATCAATTTTTTCTCCATTATTAGCAACAATAATCACATCACCTTTGAGAACGACATTCTTTCCGAAAGTTACATCTCCAGCTATTGTTAGATGAAGAAGATCTTTACAGTCGGGTATGTTTTGGAATCGCTTCTCCATTTCACGATAGCTTTGAAAGTGACCATCCACAAATTTAACTTGAGGGGGAAATGAAAATGGTCTTAAAGGATTCATTGTTACATTCCCGTTTCCAAGGACGTATACATTGCTCTTAATCAGAAAGAGGTCTGAAGAGGATTTGACAGGTAAAAATCGACTTCGGGGAACAACTACTGCAAATGCATGGTTGAAATATTGAATTGCGGCTCCAGATGCCGTTTCTAATTGTATAATTTCTAATTCTTTTTCACCAACCATTATCTTTTTCTTATTTTCTATGATCTCAAGTGAAAGATCATTCTTTTGTAACATCTTAACTATTGATTCAAGTTTTATCCATAAGTTGTTAGTATTAAAGACTTCAAAGTTAGCCATAGATTTAAAATCATCAATGTGGTTTTCAGGCACTTCAGCATATTCTAGTAATTTTACTTTTCCCTTCCAGCAAATGAGTGTTCCACCTTTAATATCAGCTGCGGTTTTCTTGGTGACTTCCATCATGAAATCTGGAGCAATGTCCGTTGTAGGATTTATTATGGTATTGAGGATTGCAAAATCTACTGTTGCCCCCAAATTATCTATGTTAGAAAGAAAGCAGTATTCTCTGCCTTCATCCATGAAATTCTTGATTAGTCCAGACTGATGAAAGGCATTATAGAAGTTACCATGCCCTGGAGGATACCACAAATATTTCTCTAAGTTGCTACATGATTTTGGAAGCGGACTGTAGTCATCAGCACGTATTCTTGGATATCTACTTTGATTGAAAGTATAAATTTTCGTCTTCAGATTCTGGTATTTCCTTAACTCGTTTTCTGTAGCTTCGTTTGTATTAAAAGAATTCATCAAGACTAAAGGTACATTTGCATCATACTGGGTGTTCAGATCTTCTATTTGACGAATTGTTAGATCTAAAAATGTAAGACCGCTGCGCACGTGTATCAAACTCTTAGGGCCATCGCATTTCATGGTTGTGCCCAATCCTCCATTTAGTTTAACGACAACGAGTTTATCGAGCAGGTTCTTAAACGTGTCAGTGCCTGGCCTTAAAATACTGTTGTAGTCTAGTAAACTTTTAGGCTTTAAAGGCGTTATTTCTTCCCATTGGACAGAGGGCATCTTCGGGTCGAGATATCTCTTATACAATTTGAAAAACTCTTGAAAATCTTGCGCTTGAGAATCATATTCATCTTTCGGACAGTCCTTCAAGAGCTTCTTAAGATGCTCTTCCATGTTACATATCGCATTTCTATTTGGATTCATGCTCTTTTCCTCACTCTCATTCCTATGCTATGTTTGGCAGATTTCGATGGTAGTATAGTAGAGCTGCTGTAAAATATTGCTGTGTTAATTTAACAGTTAAAAAATAAATAACTTAAGATCTAAAACGTAATTAATAATCAACTGATGTGTTATAACTCAAACATAGCATGATACCATAAAATTCATTTAGTTCTTCAGATACGAAGAAATATGTGAATTTTAATATACGGGAAGACATATATAAGTGATGAAAAACAAAATGTAAACTCGATTCAATTCTGTTTAAAAGCAATACATGAAATTCATAAGAATATTTTTATTACATTTTAATCTCATATTCAACATTTAATTTTTTTTTCAAAATGGTAAATATAATACGCCTATTATACATATTCAGTATATAGAATAAAGCAGAAATGAACACAAAGGAATAGATGTATTATAAATATTCATATCATCAATAAAAATGTTCAGATATTTGTCTTCTGTTGTGCTGTCTGCGACAGAAAATGGCGTTGGAGTAACTCGGGTATCAGGAAAAGTGTGATTTGTTGCCGAAGTTTAGAAACATCCACAAAGACGAAATTGACTACTTTAAAGGATAAATGAGCAATTCATGCAATATCTATAAGAGTTATTTAATATATATATATAATATAATGATCGATTAATTGTTTGTTTTTCCAGTGCAGGAGCGCGCCTCGTCAAGGCCGCTACAAAATACAAGCACCTAGTTTCATACTGCTTTGTCTAATGCACTAATAAAAATGAAAATGATATATTTTTCGCATTTTTATACACATATAAATATTCTCTCAAATTGTTCAGTTTGATAGAATATGTTACGTATTTTATTTACAGAATCTCACGACTGCTCTTAAAATAAGTGTACATGTGTATTAATACTGATGAGTGCTCGTAGGAATAACTAAGATGTTAGTAAAATAATAACGTGTTTTACACGGGTAGAATGTGGAAAAGAAAATGAAATGTTTATTTCTTAGTGTTATTTCAATGTATTTTTAAACCACGCAAAATTTTACTTTGCATTATGCATTTACAGTACACAATATTGCAAACTGGAGTCTAAGTTTAACTTGAAAACTACAATATGAATACAACATAAAAATGTGAAAACCTGCACTTTAATTTACATTTAATTTACATTTATTTTGAGAAAAAATATATTGGCTGTATTTGTACAGAATGCAAGAAAATAGATAAGTAATTAATGCATAATACACCTACATTTAAATACGAGGGCTATCCAGAAAGTAGATTACGTTTTGGAATAAAAAAATAAACAAAGTATAGGAAACAAATTTTATTAAATACAGATGAAAGCCACACTCAAATACTACTTTTCTACATAGTCACCATACAAATTAAGGCATTTATCGTAGCGATGTACGAGCTTGGAAATTCCTTCGTCGAAAAATTCGGCCGCCTGCGCCTTCAACCACTTCGTTACCTCTTCTTGCAGCTGTGCGTCGTCATCAAAACGCTGCATAGCCAGCCACTTCTTCATTGCTGGGAATAGGTGGAAGTCGCTCGGTGCCAGGTCGGGACTGTACGGCGGATCAGGAAACAACTCCCACTTAAAAGATTCAAGAACTTTACGAGTGACATTTGCCGTGTGGGGCCGGCGTTGTCGTGAATCAACAAGATCTTAGAGCTCAACATTCCTCTGCGCTTGTTTTGAATTGCTCTTCTGAGTTTTTGGAGAGTTTGGCAATACCTTTGAGAGTTTATTGTAGTGCCTCTTTCCAGGAAGTCCACCAAAATTACACCTTTTCTGTCCCAAAAAACAGTCGCCATCATCTTCCTTGCGACATTGTTTGCATGCATTTCTTGGGCTTTTGGGGAGAACTTGTGTGCCCCCACTGCATTGATTGCAATTTCGTTTCACAGTTCACATGTTTCACCCATGTTTCGTCACCAGTAACGATGCGATCGAGTAAGAGTCACCATCCTTATGGTAAGAGTCCAAAAAGTTCAACGCTGCAGCCATTCGCTGATTTTTGTGGTCCTCTGTCAAGATTTTTGGAATCCATCTTGCACAAAACTTGTGGTAACCAAGCTTTTCGCTGATGATTTCGTGCAACAAACTTCGCGAAATTTGTGGAAAACTCAAAGAAAGTTCCGTTATTGTGAAATTTCGATTTTCACGGACTTTAGCATCGACTTTTTCGAGAAGTTCGGCGGTCACTATGCTGGGTCTCCCACTTCGATCTTCGTCGTGAACATTGGTTCGGCCATTTTGAAATCTTATGACCCACTGACGCACTCCACCTTCAGTGATAATGTTGTCCCCTTACACTTCACGAAGCTGCCGATAGATTTCTATCGGTTTTACAGTTTTTTTGCAGTCAGAAACCTTATTACTGAGCGCACCTCGCAGCTCGCGGGATTTTCAATTAACGCAGACATTTCAAACCGTCACAGTATCTGAACGGAGCACAGCACGAACCTCTCACTAGCACGGCTAGATGCAGACTGAGCTGCGCAACGCTCTGACCCCAAGATGGCCGCGCTATCCCCGCCCCTAGCGGACACAGACGGAAACGTAATCTACTTCCTGGATGGCCCTCGTATTATTTATTTTAATCGGAAGTACAACTTAACAGCAGCTTTAAACTTAATTTAGATATCTCTAGTTTCTTTAAAACAATAAAATAAGAAGTATCTTTAATAAAAAACATATTGATGCATGTAATCAGACGACACCGTCAGTTCTGAAATCATTCATATCAACTTTTCACATTTTACGAAAACGTTATTATTGTACTTTTAATGCTCATAGATAACTTGAATTTTTTACTATAATAAAAATAATATAATAATAATATATTAATGTAATATAATATAATAATATAACGTAATAATAATAGAAAAAACTAATCTAATAACATAACATAATAATAGTATATTAATATAATATCATAATATAACATGATGATAATATATTAATGTAATATAACTTGCACATATTGAATACATTGTGCATATTTACTTTAATATATTACAACTTCAATATATTAACGCAAGATTTTACTAAAATAATGCATAAAATGATAGAAAAGCAAGAACAAAATTCATGCAATCTTAATGATATATTTTGATATGAATGAATTTTTGCGAATAATGTTTATATAAGAATCTAATTGCAATTTCATGAAAATAATACTAACCGCACTTTATCAACCAAAAATCAGTTCTTTATTTGCATTTATATTTTAAATGTATAAATATTTATTTCACGAATATAAAAATTCCTATTTGAATTGATGTTTTAATTTTGATATCTGAGCTCTCTCACTTCTATTTTAATTATGCAAAATAAATACAGCTAAATGTGTTGCCATTCATGCTTCAAAACTCATCTAGTTTAACGCAATAAATTGTAAAATTCTACAGTCCACTAAGCCCAATCATTATGGAATCAATTATTAATACGGAAGACATTAATTACCATTTCTAAGAAAGCAGATATCATCATATATTATATTTCCGTCTTATATTAAAAAAAAAAAAAAAAAAAAAAACTGTGCTGAAATAGAGGTCAAATTATAAATGCCATCTTTAATTTTTGAATCAATTATACTTTATTTAACACGTGAAACATTATTTGAATCATTTTGTTAATTTACAGCGTATGTACAGACAAATGTGTAATTATTAACAAATAGGACTTAAAATTATGCAGTAAAATGGAATAAATTGCTTAAATAACGAGGTAAGTTTTGCTCTTTAATGTAATGAAGAAAGGAGTTTCTATAAGAAAATTAAAAAATTAGTTTTCAATAAAACTTAAATTAAAATCTGAAAGGCTTTAGATTTTAACGATCACTCAAAAGGGCTTGTCAAAGTTATTTACGCTGTTGCTGACCTCGCAGTATACTAGCCTGCTGTCTCATAACTCCCACTAACACATTTTGTTTGTCTGTTTAGCTTCATTTTTAAGCAGAATTTTTTCGCACGTAAGCCATATACAATTCAACAGCAAAATTACGAAAATTTTAAAAGCAGCATAGCAGTGTACGTTTAGAATTTGCAATGTAGCGTTAAGTACTGGCATACATTTTTCTGTTATTTTTTCGGTCTTCTATCAGTTTATCAAATCAAGGTTTAGTTTTCTTACTAAGATGGCTTTCAAAAACATTTTCGCCATTTTATTATTTACGTTTGTGTTACGTTTTTATTTAATGTGTTTGTATTTGTTAAATATCACGTTCCTTGAGCACATTCAACAGCAAAATGAAATTCAGCAGCACTTGAAATTCGATTCAACAGCAAAAACACGAAATTTTTAAAAATAGCATATCTTTAGAGATTCCGACAGAAAGTATGACGCGCTGGAGATAAAAATTATTTTTTCCTAACAGAGTTGCCACAGCTTGCTCTGAAATTCGGTAATTGAAAATTGATTAAAGTTTTACAAAATGGTAAATAGATAATAAAACGACACTAAAATTCAAAATTCGGGCTTCTTAGTGCCCATGTTTCGGTGGAGGACTATGTTATTCGGTATTTCGAGACTGATATCTCATTCCGGACTAACCTTCCTTTAGGACTAATAATTATTTAAACATATTCCTATTTAATAATAATTATTTATTGACGAAATACTTTCTGGTTTTGACGAAACTGAATATGAAATTAGAACTTCCTAGTACAAGCCTATTTTGAAATAAAATGATCTAATTATCTTTTTCATTTTCAAAACATTATTATCATAAAGCATTAAATATTGCTATGAATTTTGTATATATGCAATTTAATTTAGTGAAGATGCACGTAAATTGCAGTACTTCTTGTAGAATGTAACATGAAAGGCCTCAAGATGTTAAGCATTGCTGAAAAAATAAAGTTACAGGAATACGTCCATTTAAGGGGACCGTGGACTTTGAAAAAGCTAAAAATCGACCAAAATATTGAAATTTTTTTTTTACTCTCGTTGTATTACATATACTTAACTGCATCGTATGTAAAAAACCGAATTTAAATATTCTAATTTTTAACGAAGTTACAAGCATTTAAAATGTGTAAACAACATAAACTTTGCCCTTTAAATTTTGGCGAAAATGTAAACAAATATGTTTCAACAGTTTATTTGCTGATATTTATATACTTATATATTTAATTCTTTATAAACCTGGCAATATAACGTTTTAACTGTAACTGCCATTTCACTGTTTACAGTTTAAAAGTGCTTTTTTTCCTCGCTATTTTCTTTAGTTCTTTTGCTAAAAGTGTTTTGCTGTGTTTTTATACAACTACATTTTGCAGGACTGTTTATAACTGAGTTTCTTGGACTGAAGAAGAACTGCAGATTAATTTATAACCTCTTGCGTAAGAGTACGTATATATATATATATATATTTATTTATTGTACATTATGCATGCCATAAGTCGTCGTTACCGTAAGCCTAAAGGGCGACCATCGAAGAAAAAACTTGCAGCTGTCAGCAAAATTGAAAAACGATGGGCAGCTCATTCGGAAAAATGACGTGACATTGAACAGTGAAGAAGTTTCTTCCAAAAATAAACAAACAATTTTTTTCTGAAAGTTCTATAGTTGAAGCGAGTACTTCAATAAGTGCCAGTGTAAAGAAACTGAATGAAAGTTTATTACGAACGTCTGACTGTGGTGATAACCGAAATGATGATTCATATATTTTGATAAATCGTAAAATGTGGAATCCATTGCTATGTAATATAAAGTGTGACGAGTGCTCAACCAACTCTTTAGATATTGTTTCGAAAGGAATATATGGATATTCTACAAAACTTGAATTAGTTTGTAAAAACTGTGATAAAATATTTAGTTCAACATTTTCAAGTGAGCGGGTAAAACGGTCAAATACTTTTGATGTGAATACGAAACTTGTCGAAGCATTTTTGAAAATAGGCAAAGGCCACGCCGCCTTAGAAGTGTTTTCCATGATTATGGGAATTCATGCTATGGACAAAAAGACATTTGCTAAATGTTTACACAGTTTGTCTGAAGAAAAGGGGAAACTAAAAGGTGATTTCCTTCAGTTTTTCTCGAAATATTGTTCGAAACAAGCATAAAAAATTAATTAATATAAATAATGATGAGTGTATAGATGTCACAGTGTCGTATGATGGCACATGGCAAAAACGTGGGCATACATCACTGTATGGAATAGGTATCGTCGTAGATGTCTTGACTGGGTTAGTTATCGACTACGAAATTCTGTCAAAATATTGTCCTGAATGTGTATGCGCGAAAAGAGATATGGATGCTGACAGTGCGGAATTTCATATATGGTTTGAAAGCCACAAACCAGAGTGTTCCAAAAATTTTTCTGGTTCGTCTAATGCTATGGAAATGAAAGCCGCAGAAATTTTATGGAAACGGTCCATCAGTACATGTAATATGCGATATGTTGGGATACTTTCTGATGGGGATGCGAAAACATATCAACATTTATTAACTCTGAATCTTTATGGTAATGACGTAAAAATTAGTAAAGAAGAATGTATCAATCATGTGGCAAAACGTTTAGGGGCAGGATTGCGCAATAAAGTTAAAGAGCTGCGTTCCAGAGGTATATGTATCGGTGGACGAAAAGAAGGTAATCTGAAGGAAACTACAATTTTAAAGTTAACAAACTATTACAGAAAGGCCATAAAAGATAACATACCGGATATAGACAAAATGAAATCTGCAATTTATGCAAGCTTACTACACTGTTCATCTACTGATGTCTCACCAAAACATTCGAAATGTCCTACCGGTACGTTGTCATGGTGTTTTTATCAACGTGCAGTAGCAAATGAAGAGCAGCCGAAAGCACATAAAGCCATGAAAACTAAAGTATCTGAAAGTGTTCTTTCTCAAATATTGCCAATTTATCAAAGGCTAGCTAGCACAGAATTGCTGTCCAGATGCATTTCTGGTAAAACACAAAATGCTAATGAAAGTATCCATAGTTTAATTTGGAACAATTGCCCTAAAGAAGTGTTTATTTCTAAAAAAAGGCTAGAAATGTCAGTATTATCAACAATTAATGAATTTAACTTTGGTTGTGTAAATGCCATAAGCGTAGAACAGGAAGAAGTGAACTCGTTTTCCCTACTCATTGCAAAAAAGCGCGATCAGCGTCGCTTGAACCAAAGTAAAAAGAGAAGTTTACCTGCATGGAAAAAACACAGAAATAGTAAAAAATATTGTAAATCACTAAACGATAATGCAATTGTAGCAAATGAAGGTAAAACATATGGTGCTGGTGATTTTTAAAAATTTCATTGAGTATACGGCATAAATTGTTTTTACCTGTATAACTTCGAATCACTTAGCAATTTGTCATATGTTTATTTTTGTCATATTTAATATTATGAGATTAAAAATAGTTAAATCTTACTTACAAAATGTTATCGAATGTTTACAAATTTATATTCAAAGTTAATTTGCTGTTTCTCATGACCATGTATTAAAGGTAAGTTTGAAGGAAAACTTTAAATTCATTTTTCTCAAAACAAATTTTTTCGCAATTTGTGTGTTTTGAAAATGCTCCATGCGTCTCATTTTTAGTTAAAAATGGATGATATTTGGAAGAAACTATATTGTTATATGTTACAGTAGATCTGTGTATGCATTTTTAGATATGAGGTTATTAAGAAGTTTAAACTTGTGAAAACCTTTAACAAAAGGTGAAATTTTTTCGAAAATTGGGTTTAAGTTCACAAAAATAGCCTTTAAAAATTTCTTATCCATCATATTCAATAACGGATACACAAATACTTTTACCAAGCCTTTATAAGTAACATAAAGCAAACATTAGGAAAAAATATTAAAAATTGGAGCGCATGGAGCATTTTAAATTTTTAATTAAAATAATTAATTAATTGCTTTAAAAATTTTTAATTTAAAACAAATTGAAATTTTGAGCATATATTTTGTTTACTGATGCTATAAGATGTACATGTATAAAATTTCTTGTTGAAAAAATGAAAACTTAAAAAAATAATTTTTAAAGTCCATCGTCCCCTTAACACTGAGGTAAATGGCTAAAGCTGGAGATAATCCGGCAGAGGCGCAGCTAGAGTTTTCAGCATTCAGGATCAACTAAAGATTTTGCGTCCCTTTCTGTGTTTCCAGAATGGAAAGCATATTGTTCTAAAATTTGTAGCATCAATTTGACGCCCCTTGGATGCTGCGCCCGGAACAGTTGTCTCCCTAGCTACGCCACTATAATCCGGCAAATAATTTGGCAAGAAATTGTCAGTGGTAAGCTTTGAATGTGCCTTCCTTCGCAGACGATAACGCATTGCAAGTAGG